TATAGGAGGCATCTTCCTGAAGCCTTCGACGTCATGCACTGTTTAATCCAAGCATTGCAAAGTAATAGAGACGGCATTGGGCTCTGAAATACGGCAAGCTGTTGGAGTGAATGCTGGGATTGTTGGCACAAATAGTCAATAAACAGGGGCGTAGCGAAGGCATTTTGGGGGGGGTGTGTGCTAGAGTCAGTTTGCTGACTTGTAACTTGTTCACCAACCTCATGTCATGTAAAATTCGCAAAGTGCAGAAAATGGCCAGCCAACATATATCATTTATGTACCAATTTTGGATTCATTTGCCGACTGAAGCTGTCCTTGCCGACTGGAACTAAATATGGGGGGTCCCCCCCCGTCTATACACCTCTGTCAGTAAAATCAGAAATCAAATAATTAGATGTAGGAAAACACTGAATGGCACTTTCCAGCTTCACTGTTGCAGAGACACCCTCCTGAATCAACAATCTTGTTTCTCTGGAAGTCTTCTGATATCCGTGATATTTTTTAACTTGTAAAAAACAAAACCTCAATAACACTGTAGTCTGTAGAGCACCTTGTAATCGTTGCAAGTTTGCACCGTCAGCAGTGCTGAAGATTAAGACTCTGTATTAGTCATGGTATTGAACTCAAGCAGTGTTTACTGCCGTCTCCCCTCACGCTGAACTGTAGACACTGTAAGAAGATTAGAAATCTCTCAGAAAAGTCTTTTTCTCCCTACGGTAACATGCAGATGAAGTCAAAGATTCTGTTGGGTGTTAACCTTGACTTTTGTAACTGTTTACATTTTATGTAATTTGCATATGGGTCTTGGATGCCCGAGCGTGAGTTGATTGGAAGTTGATGCATAGATTGCTTTTAATAAATTGTGAATGACAATATACATGTAATGGAAAATCTGTCCTCTGTAGTCCTATATGTAGGACCTGCAAATTTTCTTGGCCAACAGGGATAATATTTTACTCTTGTTTATTGTTATTCTATTTATTATGTTTCTTAATATCTGCGCAGGTGATGTCACTGCTGATGGAGGGTAACAAGGAGCGAACACAGGAGCCTACGGCAGCCAACAAGACCTCGTCCCGCTCCCATGCTGTGCTGCAGGTCACTGTCAAGGAGCGCGACCGCATCCGCACCACCTCACAGAAAGTCCGCATTGGCAAGCTCTTCATGATCGACCTGGCTGGGTCAGAGAGGGCCTCGCAAACCAAGGTGAGGTCGTCAACATCAACATCTCTGAACTTGAAGACCTGGTGTAAAAGATACTTTTTGACTCCAGAGTAGCTTTAATTGAATTGTACGTTTTCCCTTAATGTGAATTACAGCCGAGCCTCATTTTAAGAGGTCCTTCAGACTTGGCAAATTACCTTGTTATAACAGGAACCTTGCTTTATCTGGAATAAAAACAATGAAAAACAAAACAAAAATTTTCCTTGTTATAAGCAGAATCTTGTATTAACAGTGTTCTTGTTAACGAGGTTCAACTGTGTTCCTGTGAAGGCATAGAGTGTTCTGTGTTTACAGGTTGCTCTGGCTTGCTTTGATAGCATTTGCTCGGACCCAATGTCATATGCAGGGGTGTTGCAGGTGAGACATCACAGGGACCAGTGAGTTCAACAAGATGATTTGGCCACATAGGCCCCCTTGTTTGAAATATCCTAATTGTGCCCTGTTTGCACTTGTTATAAAGAATCGTGGCAAGCGTATGATAGAGGGTGCTCACATCAATCGATCACTGCTTGCATTGGGCAACTGCATCAACGCGCTGGTTGAGGGCGGTAAATATGTCAATTACAGAGACAGCAAGCTGACGAGGATCTTAAAGGTAAGCCTGAGTCAGTACCAGATGTAAGTATTCCTAAGCGGTGTGAGGAAGTTCACAAATGTCGGTGAAAAGAAAGGCCAGGTTTCTCGTGCAGCGATTACTGTAGCACAATTTGAAATTGAACGAATGGTAGTCGTGTATTTAATAATGCATGCAAATTTGTATTATTGAATGCAAACAGTTTGCATTATTAGATTTGATCAGCTTTGTTTACAACTACGATCAAAAATTAAGTTTGTAATATTTTGTATGACAAGAAACCTGTCCTGGATGGTGGGAAAAGGCTTCTCTTTTCATTGAAAACTTTTCTAATAGATAACATGGAAGTCATGTAAAAGTGGCAACGAACTTCTTTGGAGTCATAAATCATTGCTTTGCTTTTCAACATTGTCACTCTTTTCCCAGGATGCCTTGGGTGGGAACTGCAAGACAGTCATGATTGCCAACATCAGTCCAGCCAGCATTCTGTTTGAAGAATCGCGTAACACCCTAATGTATGCAGACAGAGCCAAGAACATCAAGATGAAGGTGACAAAGGGTGTACACTCAGCTCCTTTCTTTCCTCCTTCATAATAAGTGAAAAGGGGCCACCGTTTCACTGAAGGATGTCAGATTCTGTACAATTTGTTGGTTTCACCACAAAATGACGCGTAGGGTAGTTTTGGTGCACAAGGAAGTGAGGTTTCATCCGTAGACAAATGATACGTCAATTGGTGGTGCTGCAACTATCCACAACGCATCACTTCGTGGTGCAACTGACAAATTTCTCAATTATTTATTTGAAAAAAGTGAAATTGGTATTGAAATGAGAAACATCAGTATTGTATTCCCATTGAACTTCTTTTAAGCTTTCCTTTGAAGTTATTATTAAATTATCCTTCTTTTCCCCTTGTTTAGATAAAACAAAACCTGACCAGTGTGACACATCACATGGTGCAGTACACCAACATCATCACAGAGCTAAGACAAGAGATTGTCCGACTCCAGAAGAAGATTGCCGATAAGAACCGTCTCAAGGAATCGTCCCCACAGACCCACGAGGCTAGATGTAAGTCAACCCATTGCGGGCAATGAAGGGTGATTGTGTTGTTGAATGTGAGATTGTTACTCCTGGTTTATGCTGATATTTATCTGGCTCTGTGCTCAAGGTGGGCTTAGAACAGATGGCCAAAGTTTTTAATGTGGGCCAAAGTCCCAGGTGTGTTATTGATTCTAAAAGTACCGATTCTGAAGACGGAGGTGACTCCGAGGATGGAGATGAAACTGAGATTTGAGAAAGTGGCCTTTGGTTTTGTTTCAGCGGAGGAAAGTATGCACAGTCGCGACGAGATGGACAGACTCCGGCAACAGTTGATGGCCAACTTCCAGGAGCAGATGGGCATCAGACAGAATATGATGGAGGTGGAAAACAGGAAGTGGGAGGTGGCTGTACTCATCAACAGGCAGATGGCAATCATTACAGAGTAGGTGGTGGACAGAAAGGTTGATAGATAAGGTAGCAGACAGGGTGACAACTGACTCACAGATGTTACGACTGACAGGGCATGATGTTGATGGAAAACAGGAAGTGGGAGGTGGCTGTACTCATCAACAGGCAGATGGCAATCATTACAGAGTAGGTGGTGGACAGACAGGTTGATAGATAAGGTAGCAGACAGGGCGACAACTGACTCACAGATGTTATGACTGACAGGGCATTATGTTGATGGAAAACAGGAAATGGGAGGTGGTTGTTGTCATTAACAAGCAGATAGCAATCATTACAGTGTAGGTAGACAGACAGGGTGACAAGTAGGGTAACAGTCAGGGCAACACACTGATTAACAGATACAATTACAGACAAAAAATGAGAGTGATGGAAAACAGGAAGTGGGAGGTGGCTGTGCTCATCAAGAGGCAGATGGCAATCATTACAGAGCAGGTGGACAGAGAGTGATGGATAGGGTTACAGACCGAGTGACACATACTGATTGACACATGTTGACAAATATATAGCATGATGGAAGTAGAAAAAAATTGAGGCTGCTGTGTTTGTAAACAGCTAGATGGCCATCATCACAGAGTAGCTCGATAACCCAACTAAAAGATAGATGCAGTGAGATGTACATAATGTGGATATCAAAGCAGAAGGGAAGAAAAGTAAGGGGCCATAGACAGAGATTGCCGTTGATCAGAAAGATGAGTGGTTTCTTATTATGATTTGGGGATGTTGAGTTATATTGAATGTGTTAATTGTCTCTACAGTTTTGCTTGAAAACTGTTCAATCTTGTTTTTTATCAGGTGGGAACAAGAAAGGTTGCGAAGTAAAGAGATCAACAAAGAGATGGACAACAGATACAAAGGTTGGTTCTGAAGAGTATTTGTCGTTTGTTTAATTGAAGCCAATAGCTTCAAAGC